ATGTGTGGTCATTTACATTATCATATTCAGTCATGCATCTTGTTCTCTAAAATTTCCCATTAGCTGCAAGGGGTTGTGTTGCTTTTAGAATGCATGAATTGTTCTTTTAGGCTTGCAAGTTTTTTTTTTCATATGATCCATAGTGTTCATCATGATTATCTAATCAAACGTATAAAGCCAGTGCAGAATCAAGAGTCTGTCACGAGTAGCAGAGATATAGAAACAGTCGGAGAAGGCGAGAAAGAATTGGGGGAATTGAAAGTAGGGTTAGGGATTTCAATTGAGAAAATTAGGGTAATTGGGAATACAAAATTAGAAGGGCTTAGTCACTTACCTGATGGACCAAATGAGCAGCTTGGAAGTCTAACCCAATCAGGGGAAGGAATCAGGTCAGCAACACCTGCAAGGGAAGAATTATGTTAGAAAGTTGTACTGCCATTTGGTAAATTGGTTAAAATTGGTACAATGTTAACAAATAAAATGTGTATTGAACCAAGGAGAAATCATCTAAAAATTGAATGAAATTGTTCTCTTCTTCAAGCTCTCTTTCTTCTCCAAATCTTCTTCTCTTAATCTCTATTTCTATTTCTTCGATTCTCGTCCTTCTCTGATTCTCTTGAGTAATAACAAATTGGTATCCAGAGTCACTCTCCCTGAAAACTTGTTCATTGGTATACCAAAGCAAAATCAAACAATGGCTAAACTCCTTATCTTTCTTCAATCCAGAAGCAGATTGATGACTTAGCTAATATGGTGAAGCAAACTACAGAGGGAAATAACCCTCCTAAATGGTGGGAAGAACATGATAACTTAATCAGTAAAATAGAAACAAGGATGACAATGACTCAACGCTACGCGGAGTGGATATTAGGGATCTTGAAAGGGAGGACGAAGGAGCAAGTCCAAAACAACCCTAAAATTGAGCAAATGTTACATGTGGCAATAGAAGATACAAATAATGGGTATCAAGCGTTTGATAAAATGTCAACAAGAGTATTTGATGCAATTTCATCCATCATCGGCTCCATGAAGGCTAATTCACGGTTGTAGTAGAACGTCAGTCTGGTTGGGTATACCAAATTGATTTCGTGGGAAAATCAAGCTTTGCCCATGCATATTCAAGTTACTACCTTTCATTCGTTTTCCATTAAATTATTCGTACTCTTTGATTTCATGATTCAAATTGTTGGTTCTTCTTCAACAGTCAATGTGGATCAATTTCTACAAAGTCAAAAATATGGTAACTCAAATAATCTGAATTCTCTATTTGAATCGACGTTTAGAGAAATTTATTTCATGATGTTTGTATCTCAATCCTTGTTCCTTATGTGTTTAGACTTTTGTTGATGGGAAAAGGTAGGATTTATTTGGCTAGGAGTTTGAGTGTGAATCACAGGTTGCACATTATGCTTTCTAATCTATTTAAGTTGGGTATATGGAGCAATTTTAGTTGTCTCCTAATATTATTTCTTGACTGCACTGTATAGTCTCTGTTTTGGCATGATTATTTTTATGCATGGTGTAGATTGAAAATCAGTGGGACTAGGAAGAAATTGAGTAATGATGAATTGTACCTCGAGCAAGATAATGAACTTGCATGCTATGTTACACGTGGAAGAGCTAAAATCCCAAAAATTGTTATAAATCAATTTTGGAATACTTGATTTAAGAAAATACTAGTTTGCGAAGTGTTCCTACCATGAGTACTGAAAGCTCCAAAAGAAGAGAGAAGCAATTACGAGCACTTTTGGAGATAGTGCCAGAAAATGATTGGGATCAGTCCTATGTGTTACAATTATGTGAGAATGCATGCTTTGACCAGGTTTGTGGATTAATTTATACCTTTAGGCATCAATATCTTGTTCTTGTTGATAGCTATATGAAAGATGTAGAAGAGCCAATTTATTCCTTTGCTTTTATCAACAATATGTTAATGCAACTAAGCAATGGGGATTATACTAATTTTAGATCGAAAGTCATCTCTCAATTCCAGAGATGATTAATTTAAGCAGAGAGGATACATTGGTTTTAGTTGTTGACCATTTTAATGATGAAAGTTCATGTATCCTTTATGCACTTAAGTCTCATCCAAAAAGCCTTTTCCTTCACATAAAAACGGCCATTGAGGTTAACTTATCAGGCACCCTTAATATCTCTTATTTAAGGGAAGAGAAGATTGTAGATGTCTCGAGTGGAAAAAGGGGGAAATTTTCAGAAAAAGTCCTTGAAGCCTACTTGGACAGAATGTCTAATTTCCCCAAGTTCCTGTGAAATAATCCTCCTCGTATAACTGATGATATGATTGAGTTTTATATAGAGTTATTATATCAGTTTAAACGAAATTCAGTTCTCAAGTTCTTGGGAACTTTTGATAGCTGTCGAGTTGAATATTGCCTTCGCTTATTGCAGGAACACGGAATCATAGATGTTGCAGCATTTTTATTAGAAAGGGTTAGTGATGTTGGTAGTGCTCTCTTGCTTACACTTTCTAGCCTTAATGATAAATTTGTAGAGCTTGATATTGCCGTCGGAAGTACGATCTCCAAGGTGTCTTTAGGTAGATCTGGTGGCATGGAGTATTTCAACTCTGTTTTGAAAATGGAGGAGGTGAATGACATACGAACTTTATTGGAAGCTTGTATTGAATTGTGCCAACATCATACCCTCCGTTTGAATCCAGAAGATTCTGAACTACTTTGGTTTAGGTTACTTGACTCGGTTTGTGAACCTTTGATGGGTTCATAATGCAATGAAAGGGTAGTTGAGAAGGAAAGTCATGTAAGACTAGTTGAATCATTGGGTTCTCAAGATGAAGACGAATGCATAATCAAGTTGATGATCCCAAAATCACCTATAGGTGGTCATATATTGAGGAAATTATTATCTCAGTTCATCAAAGAGGTCGTTGAGGGCATGATAGGATATGTTCATCTTCCAACAATTATGTCAAAGCTCCTATATGATAATGGTGGCCAGGAATTTGGAGCTTTTAAGCTTACCATATTTGGAATGTTGGGAACTTATGGCTTTGAAAGAAAAATTATGAATACTGCCAAATCTGCTCGTACAGAGAATGGTTTAGTTAGTTCATTGCACTCAAGTCACCCACTAGCACAAGGATCATCGCAAGGACAGGGAAATGCCATCAGTATAAGGGAAGTCAACATTAAAAGCGGCAGAGATAAAGTAAGAATCAAAGAACATGTGAAAAAATAATTCTATGGAACAATACCAACTAATTGCTCATATGAAGGTTGTAACTCGGGAATGGCTTCTTATAACATGAAACGGTTCATGAAGCATAAATTATTGGAGTTGCTAGCTTCAACCATAAGAAGAAAAAATGGTGGGTAGTCTACAGCTCAATCAATGCTCAAACCCAAGGAAAACATGAATCACAAGTCAAAGGCACAGGGCGAGAAGATGCAAAGAACAATGGAAATTTATGCGGATATAAAATTGACATATAGAAATTTCAAGGTCAGGGGCCAAGTTTATCTGAAATTTCAGTCTTACCATCAAACTTCACTTGCTCTTCGGAAGGGATTAAAGCTGGAAGCAAGGTTCTATGGTTCTATGGTGCATGACAAATGTTGAGAGAAGAAGCACAATCAGGTGCAGTGGATGAATTTAGGACTGGAAAACATCACTGTAGTAAATTATATTGTACTGCAATCACAATTCCTAGGTTTTGATCCTTGGGACAATGGCGCTTTCATGGAGGGGTATTGTCATGAGTAGCAGAGATATAGAAACAGTCGGAGAAGGTGGGGGAGAATTGGGGGAATTGAAAGTAGGGTTAGGGATTTTAATTGAGAAAATTAGGATATTTGGGAATACAAAATTAGAAGGGCTTAGTCACTTACCTGATGGACCAAATGAGCAGCTTGGAAGTCTAACCCAATCAGGGGAAGGAATCAGGCCAGCAGCACCTGCAAAGGAAGAATTATGTTAGAAAGTTGTACCGTCAGCAGGTAAATTGGTTAGAATTGGAACAATATTAACAAATAAAACGTGTACTGAACCAAGGGGAAATCGCCTGAAAATTGAATGAAATTGTTCTCTTCTTCAAGCTCTCTTTCTTCTCTCAATCTCTATTTCTATTTCTTCGATTCTCGTCCTTCTCCGATTATCTTGGGTCATAACACAGTGCTTTTATAAAACCGTTTTTCGGATCGTATGCTTATCAAATGAAAAATGGATTGCATATGGCAATAGCATTAAAGAAAATATTGTGCGCAGCTGATTCAAATGAATCTGCACTTGAGGAAGCTCAAGAGTATATTAGCCAATCAATTGATGATGGTGAAACTGAAGAGGATTGAAGCTTTTGACAAAGGAAGAAAACTGGTAGCTTCTCTTAAAAGAAGCGCTTAGTTATAGTGTTGATCATGAATAGTGGTAACAATGGCATCTCTTTCTAAATAATATATATATGAAGCCCTGAACTCAATGTCGTACCATTTATTTAATGTTCATAAGGAAAACCTGCTGTCTTCTATAAACTTTTATTTTCATATAACAATTTTTAATTAAAACTTTAAAACATATATGTTGCAAAATTAATATGATAGTTCAAGTTTAACCCAATAAATGCTCGACTTAAGTTGACTCGATTCAAATTCGATTTGACACCATAATGAGTCAAGTCCATCAAAGTCTAACTCAACTAAATGAGTTCACGAACAATTCTTTAATGAAAAACATGTCGAGCAAAATTTTATCGAGAACTTTATGAGTCGAGTTGAACAAAATTTTATCAATTTTGCCAGGTATCAAGTTGAGTCAGGCACGAGTCAGGCCTGAGTTGAGCACGAATCAAACAGTTTGTGAGTTGAGTTGAACACTGGCCACTCGTGATTGACTCGCTCGATAAGCACCTTTTGTATCGGGATAAATTCCAAATCACAAGGCCTAAAACCTAAATAGCCTTAGTTCAACCGGCAACCCTAACAAGAACATGCATGAAAATTACCAAGGGGACCAGAAGCAACACAGAATTTGAGAAAGTATTTAGAAACTTGCATTATTTAACAAGCAAATTTAGATAATTACATAAACCATAGACAAACATTCAAAGAGTTATGCACACAAATAAGAAGTCTCTCTCGTGTGATACCGGATGCACATGCAGCTTTCTCTTGACAGCAAAATATACAGGAGCCATAAGGATCAATGCCTGTAGCCATCATCATCGTATATGTAACCATAACTGCTACTCCTCGACTTATCAGCCTGTGAAACGAGGGAGAAAATAAGGGCTAATAATATGGTTACTATTAAACTCATTTCTTTTAAAGAACATAAACTAAAAAAAAAACCAAGACCGCTGGCATACCCGATGAATGAGCTTCTCAAATGCATCAGTTCCATTCTCCTCAATGTATCGCTCTGCAGCCGTTAAAATATCATCCGGCTTACTGAAGAAGTCCTTCTTCCTTGGAATATACCAGATGTTAATTGTCTGTTGTGGGTTCAGAAAGAAAGGTCGCAAATAATGCTCGTAAACATAGGCAGCGCCAGAGAAGTACGGAATGACCAGCCAGCAAGTGAAAATCAGCTTTGCATAGGACCAGATGGGAATCCTGCAGTAGATTTTCGAATATTTAAAAGTACCGTGTTTCACACATGTTCAGACCGATGCATGGGATATGAGCTTCCAAGGATCCTTCACAAGTACAAAAATAACATACTAAACAATAGAAAATAACCATATCCAGCACATCAGAGTCCAATTAGCATAGGTATCTATATATGTGCATAAAAAACATAAGAAGGCTTCGCATACAGGTTTTTCATTGTAAATCAGCTAAGGATCGATGCTATTTAGAGACCCGGACTTAGTAAAGCATATCGGACTACAACATTTCATCAAACCAATATAAGTATCAGCAATTTTAGGCACAACTACCAGAGAGAAAGAAATTAAAACCAGGAACTGTAACACCTCTATGAAACATTGATAACTACATTATATAAAAGGGTTCCCGATGAGAAGCAAGATTTGAAGAATAGGAATCATTTGGTCTCCAAAACTGCCAGTTTCAGACAAGCTCAACGATCAAATTTTCTTTGAGTAGAAAAACTAAAACAAACAGGTCTAATAAACCGAAACATCGATCCAAGCCAAGGCAAAAGGAAGAACAAGAAAGAAAGAGCAAAAAAAATTTACCATTCAATGACTTTGGCAAAAGTGAGCTCCATCAATGTAATCATGGAATAGAGAACCCAATATGTAAGCCATTGTCTGTCATCTTCTCGAGACTCGGACTCGATCGCCCTGACTGAGGCATATCTGTTTCAGAATTTTAACACAACAGAACAATCGAAACAATCCAGGTAAATGACAAATCGAGGCAACTTATGAACAAATACACACAAAACAAAACAAAAAATGAAATAAACCCCAAACAAATCAGGAAATTGCTTACAGGGGGTAGAGAAGACTAATAACTGGCCTGCAAAAATCAATTTAACAAATAAATAAATAAAGGAAATAAAAGATGAAAACTGGGATGTGTCAGATAAAAATTTGAACTTTCCCTTCAAATAAAAAGTGGCAATAATCCCATAAATCTGATTTTATCTTCTTGATTTTGCTTCTATGTTCATCAAGCAGTAACATACAAAACACAAACCCAAAAAGGAAACAAGATAAAATGCTTTGGTTGCTCATTACTTGTTTTATTCTTAGTTTGATCAAGAGAAAAGAAATAAAGCTGAAGCATTACCCAGCAAGAACATCAAAGTTCTTAAGAATAACCTTAAGGAAATTTCCAGCCCCAGAACCCATCTTCGATCTTCAATGCTTTTGTATTCTTTCTTCCCCTTCCTTTCTGAAAACTTCTGATCTCAGAACTTCTAAACAAATGGTAGGGTTTGGTTTTGGTGTTTTAATTTTATTTTTTTATTTACTGACAAAGGGTGCAAGTCAAGTGGTTGTGATATTTTTATATGCAAGAAAACAGAAGATGCCAAAAGCAGGTTGTAAGAGAATTTATTCTCTGCCTCGGGTTGATTGGCGCAGTAATCTAACGGAGGATAATTCGCAATCAATAATAAAATGAACAGTCGCATCTGTTTTTAACTTTCAAAAGGTTTTAAGGTCGATTAGCCCTTAAAATATATTTCTGGGTTAACTACATTATTGGTAACTTATATTTGTATTTTGTCTAATTTTTCTCACTGAATTTAAAAAATATAATACATATCACTTTCTTTTTTTATTTAATTAAAATATAAAAAAAATAACTGTCCTTTTTTCCCATATATATAGGGTAAGGGGAGGTAATTAAAATATGATATCTTTAATTTTTATTTAATTAAGATATGATCACCATATGTTAAAAACTGTTAATAGTTAAAAGATTATGTGATATGATATTTTGGTCTAATCACACATTTGATCTCTATTATTTACATATTTTTTTAATTTAGTCTTACTTTTAATAAATTAAAATATATTTAATCCCCAATCGAATATTTTGGCATAATCACACATTTGGTTCTCTCAATTAACTTAAGTTCATAATATTTTATTTTTATTTTTATTTAAAAATATATATTTTATTTTATCTAAACTTTTAAAATTTTATTTTAATTTATTAAAAGTAGAACTAATTCAAAGAATATGTAATTGATAGGACCAAATGTATGATTATACCAAAATATTAACGGTAGTTAACTCGTGGTAACCACATCTTAATTAAATAAAAACCATAGTAATCATATATTATGTTTTTGGCATAATACAACAAAATACCTCTAATGTTTGATAGTATAGCCAAATTTACCCGTATTCTTTTTTTTGACACATTTGACCACTCAACGTTTCATTTTGGATAAAAAAAACTATCGGTTGATGGAAATTGTTAGTCAACTAATGGTCAACCAAACACATACATATGAAGGGAGATGTTGACGTGGTGTGTCCAAATCATATAATATGAAGATGTGACACTGTCACGTCAGAATATTTAAAATTAAAAATATTATTATTAATATTTATATTTAAGTATTTTATTATCAATCAGAGAGTGATACATTTCAATTGTTGTTGGTTTAAAGAAAATATTTATTAAATTAATTAATAACAGCCAATTAAATATTATCACGTGACAAATGAGATTTAATTTATTAAATTAAGAAAGAAGGGATTAAACCTCCAAAAGAATGCACTTAATGAGATTTGAGTTTAGGCTCAGTGGATGAAAGGCTTAACGTCTAACCACTATGTCAAGTCAATTGGATGTTATTTTTATGCTAATAACATTACTTACTGTACATTGTAGCAATCAAAACCACATCAATGGACCAATACAAACACTTCTCTTTTTAAATTTAAGTTAAATTTAAGTTACTAGAATTATTTGAGTCAATTTAAATTTATATTTTAGATTTTAATTAATTTTAAATTTATAAAATTTAAATAAAAAATTACAAATATCTTTTTTTATAATCTTTAAATTTATTAAACAATATATTGTAAGATTAAATTACAAATATATATTTTTTATAATTTAATCTTTTAATCTTTTAATTTTTTAATTTAATTTAGTCTTGTAATTAAAATTATTTATTAATTTTCCTTATGATTAAAAGATTAAATTATTTTTTTATTTAAAGATTATAAAATTAAAATTAATTAAAATCTAAAATATATGACATGCAAATGTTAACAAAGATCTAAAGCAAGACATATAATATTTATTTTTTTTAATATTTTTAATTTTTAATATTTTTTAATTTTTATAGTGTTTTTAGTACTTTCAATATATATTTAATATATTTAGTAATTTAAATTTCATTTTCTTTATTTTTATATTTAATTTTTTAATAATTTTAAAATTTTAAATATAATAAATTTAATATTTTTATTTAAGAGAAAAATAAAATAAGACCATTAGCTTTAAAAAATGAATTTGGACCTCGAACTCGATAAAAAATCATTTAGCCTGTTTGCCACGTCATTAACCACCATGGATCACCACATCAATACTGTGAACTGCCATATCAACATCGTAATGATCAATTACGAAATTTGTTGGTCAAAGGTTCAAATTGAATTTTTTCTGAGTTTGAAAGTCACATTAAGTGTAAAAATAGTACGACGACCACAATGATTACTTTTTAAGTTTGAGGACCTCACATACCATTAAGCATATTTTTATTATCATATTGACTCTAATTTTTTAAACTGCTTAATCTTCTTAAATTTTAAAAATTATTTGAGAAAGATGTTGAACTTACTTTTTGATATAACGTGATTTTTAAATGTTTTAAGTTGTTAAAATTTACATTTCACGATTTTATAAATAATTTTTCATAAATAATTTTAAAGTATTTTTAAGTGTGAAAAATAATAATAAGTGTTATTGATTAATTTCGCATTTTATAAATATTATTTTAAAGCTCAAAACATTTGATTTTTAGTTAAAACCCCTTCTAGTCTAGATACCGATATGTCAGTCTTGATACTCAAATTCCTGAAGGCTTTTTGGTATCAATACCATGGTATTGGTATCGATAGTAGTGGGTGAGAATCGATACTCACTTAAACAGTATCGATACTAGTCGTTCAACACTATAAATTTGTTCGTTAGGATGCTCGGTCTGGATACCAACATCCCAACATTTTATACCAAATGTGCAAGTGAGCATTAAATGCTCAAAATTAATGAATCCAATGGCACTATTCAATCCTCAACTATAATACCCAAAATTTCAACAAGTAACTAAAATGTAAATTTTGAAAGTTTAGTGAAAAATTAGAAATTTGGGAAAGTTTGTGGAACAAAGTGACAATTTTGCCAAAAAGAATTTTTATTCCATAAATGAATAGTTTATCTTTAAATATTGAGTTTTTATGGAATTCATATTTTGATCCGGTATTTGTAGAAAAAGTTATTAAGCGATAAAGTTCGGTAAAATATCCGGTTATCCGAATCTAATTAGAAGTTTACAAAAATTTGAAGGAACGTAGTTTGGGGTTATAAAAATTATATTGATATTTTTAATCAATCAGTGAAATTTGATGTGGATCAGTGGAATTTGGTGGAATTTTCATGTTAATGTGGAATAGTAAAATTTAGTGACTAAATTGAATTTTTGGAAAATTAAAATGGCAAAGATGGAAATCTATGAATGGAATTTTTATATTTATTTAATGTCATTAAAATGGATGTCATTAAAATGGAAATAAAAGGATGGCATGGGGTAATTATCAAGATTCATTAAGGGTAGAAAAGATTTTTTTGACTAAAATGAATTTTAAATTAATTTTAATTGGTTTAAAAGTCAAGTGTAGTGAGATTTTTTTAGAAAATTTAAGAACCCTTCTTCTTCTTTCATCTAGTTGCCGTGAGCTTACTCTCCAAAGTGAGAAAGCTTTGTTTCAATTTTTTAGCCATTTTCTTAGGATTTTGGCTTAGGTATAAATAAAAAAAATTATCTACATAAGCTTCTCTTTCATTTGGTGTAAATATCTTCATGTTACATGTTTGAATTGATTAGTGATAATTGAAGGGAAAGTGTAATTTTTATGATTTAAGGTTGGCTATTGATGTTAGAAGTGTTATGGAGTTGAAATCAAGCATGAAAATTGGTTGAAATCAAGTAGAAACATGAACGAGGTGATTCGACCCTTAGGGTTTTTGATGAGGAAATATTGTGTTTGAATGGTAATTTATATGAAAATGAATTGGAATGGTTGGTATTGATGTGTAGGTGTTGAAATTAAGTTTGAAATAAATTAGGGACCATTATGAAATAATTTAAAAAGTATTCGACCCATAGGGAAAAGAGTTGGAAAAATTATCAAAACTTTCCTAAGGGCTTAAATTGACCATAATAATGATCTTGTGTGCTTGAAATTGTGTTTGGGACTAATTTAAGGCTTTATTAAAGTTTAATGATCATTTCACATTTTTTGGAAAATTGAAGGTGTTAGAATCGAAGAGGCTCAAATCAAACAACCGAAAAATGTTGTAAAGAGGGTGAAAAGATAAAATAAGTTTAGGGAGTAAGGAGAACAAAGGATAAGACAATGAACACAATGATTTAAAATGGTTCGACTTCTCAACTAAGTCTACATCCACTACCTTAGCTCCTCACTAAGGATTTTCGAACAAATTCACTAATTTGTTCTTTCTTTTTCAAGGATCAAGAGTAACCTTTACAACTCCCTATCTTTTGAATTGGATAAGATAAAACCAAACCCCTTTTACAAAAGGAAAAAGAAGTAAACAAATAAACTTCTCAAAGGTAGGTGTTTACAAAAATTTAAGCTCACACAAACACAATATTTACAAGAGAAATAAAAATAAGATTTGAAAACTATTCTCTTGTGTTTGATTGATTGGATAGGTGTTCTAACTCTTCTTCAAGTGTCTTGAACTTGTATTTATGTGTTGAAATGTTGTTGTGGCCGTTTCTAGCTTTTGAAGGTTATTTGGAGCCGTTGTGGATCAATTTTCGTGCAAAATAAAGTTGCCAAGACTAAGGGGTACTGGTACTCCTAAAGGAAGTATCGGTACTACCTTTGCTAATATTTAAATCAACTAGCCATTACTAGCCGTTGAGGCCTTTGGGTATCGATACTATGCCTATGGTATTGATACTACTATACATAGTAGTATCGGTACCCCTTTGGGTATCGGTACAATTTTTGCATTCTGAGACTTGAGCAAAGCTGATACCATCGGTACTACCTAGTGAGTATCGATACTTCCCTTACCTTTAGTATCGGTACTTGTTCAACTAGTATCGATACTATATGAACAGTATTTGTACTACTTGTTCAGAAAATTGTTTTGTGTTCAAGTCCAAACTTTTAAGGACTTTGAATTAATTTTGAAAACTTTGAAAAAAATTCAATTTAAGTCCAAAAACATTTTACCTTAAAT